CTGACAGTCAGGGAAACATAATACTCCACGTCTTCATCGCGATCAACTGTGCGTACACACGGCGACTGGGCGAGTGGTTTCCCTTGCGACGTCAATTTATTGATCCATGCTTGCACTTAACGGCTTTCCAGGAACGCGGAACCCCGAGAGACAAACAGACGCGCCCAGGAGAAAACAAACACAGACAGTACCTACTGCAACTTGCTGTCATTGTAGTAACTACTAGATCTATATCACAACTTGCTGTCATTTACACAGGAGTACCTACTGCAACTTGCTGTCATTGTAGTAACTACTAGATCTATATCACAACTTGCTGTCATTTACACAGGAGTACCTACTGCAACTTGCTGTCATATACACAGTAGTACCTACTGCAACTTGCTGTCATTTACACAGTAGTACCTACTGCAACTTGCTGTCATATACAAACTATAGTGCAACTTGCTGTCATATACACAGTTGTACCTACTGCAACTTGCTGTCATTTACACAGTTCCTATTTCTACTTATTGTCATATATATAGTTCCTACCGTCACTTATCGTCATGTACGCTACTGTCAAATACACAGTTCCTACTTATACTTTTTTGTCAAATACACAGTTCCTGCTGCAACCCGCTGTCATATACACAGTTTCTACTTCTGCTTATTGTCATATACACAGTTACTATCGTCCCTTACTGTCATGTTATTGTCGCTGTTGCTGTAGCAAGCAATCCACCTAATTCCAAATTTTGAGAATATTCAATTGGTGCCCCCCCCCCCAAATTTTTTTTAAAATCTATAAAACTAAATAAATAAATAAAAGCTCTACCAAAGATGCACATTTCAACATCTCCAAAATGGAGTTTAACGTTACGGTCAAGGATTACAATTTTTTGCTAAGCATGATTCATGATTGGAACATAACAACAAAAACTAGGAGGGTGGGTGATCTCTGGTGTAAAAAGTACCCAAACGGACTTAGCCGGATTGCTTGCAACACCGACGATAAACATAGTTCCTACCACAACTTACTACCATATTATACAACTATCTCATTCGAAAAAGGACTTTCCACCCATGTGCCACTGGCAAAGATAAAACAAATTGATCCGGCCTTTGGAAGCTTTCTTCCTGGAATAAATCCTCCCGACAGTTGCTCTGACAAATTGTTGCTGTCATGTCGGAAATGAACGCTCCGTTAGTTCAGCAATTGATATCATAATGGACGGGGGGAGGGGAGAGAGGGGGCAGATGACCCTGGTTCGAATCCCAGCTCGGATGCTCTTGAACTGGGGTCGTTTTGTGGAGTTTTAAAGATTTTAAGCTCATTTGGCTCAGTCCTATTGGATTAACTTCGGAGGTGCCGCCTCTTAAATAACCTAATAGTGTTGAAAGAGGCTTTATACCCAGAATACTTATGTTGTGGAATGCTATGCCATCTGTGGCCCACAATATCACGGTGAAAAGCATGGTGCATTCTTTTATGATCAAGTTGTTGATGTCTATTGAACATTTTACAGAAAAGAAAGATAGAATGAAAGAAAAAGAAAAAAAGAGAGAGAGAGAAAGAGAGAAAGAGAGAGACAGACAGACAGACAGAGAGAGAGAGAGAGAGAGAGAGAAATATAAAGGGAGAGAGGAAGAAAGATAGAGAAATAAAAAGCGAGAGAAATAAAGGGAGGCAGATAAAGAAAGAGTGGGAGAAATGAAGAAAGAGAGAGAAATAAGGAGAGAGAGAGAGAGAGAGAGAGAGACAGAGACAGAGACAGAGACAGAGACAGAGACAGAGACAGAGACAGAGACAGAAGAGATGAAGCAATAGTACGTTTCTGTTAAAAGTGTTAAATGTAAGGAGAGGGGGGAAATGATTTATTTGTGTGTCAGTGTGGTGAAATCAGTCGCTTCTCAAAATTGTGAAATCCACCCGTTGGGCAATTTCTATTTTCTATTTTTGTTTTCACTTAATCCTTTTCATGTCCATCTAAAACACATTTCTCTGTGGATTTTAATGGGAAACGTTGCTTAAAGGTGCCAAAGATTAAATGTTAAATTTGCAACTTCCAAGGACAGTCACGCATTGGAAGTCATAAAACTTTGGCAGCCATTTACTCACTAATTTTACCTCTGACACAAGGCGACCCCACCTACGACATTTGCAAATATCTCGTCTCGTATCCCTGAAAGATATGTATTATTTCA